AAAGGTACCAGGGGCATCTCATGGGGCCCCCTACTGACCCTGGGCCCTCGGGCAGTGCCCGAGTTTCCAAATGGTCAGTCCGTCCCTGCCCTGAACACACCATAACCACCGTGAAACATGGTGGTGGCAGCATCATGTTGTGGGGATGCTTTTCTTCAGCCAGGACAAGGAAGCTGGTTAGAATTGATGGGAAGATGGATGGAACCAAATGCAGGGCAAGTTTAGAAGAAAACCTGTTAAAGTCTGCAAAAGACTTGAGACTGGGGCGGAGGTTTACTTTCCAGCAGAATAACAAACCTAAACATGCAGCCAGAGTTACAATGGAATGGTTTAGATAAAAGCATATTCATGTGTTAGAATGGCCCAGCAAAGTCCAGACCTAAATCCAACTGAGAATCTGTGGCAAGACTTGAAAATTGCTGTTCACAGACTCTCTCCATCCAATCTGATAGAACTTGAGCTATTTTGCAAAGAAGAATGGGCAAAAATGTCCCTCTCTAGATGTACAAAGGTGGTAGAGATATCCCCAAAAAGACTTGCAGCTGTAATTGCAGTGAAAGGTGGTTCTACAGAATATTGACTCCAGGGTCCCAATGTGATATAGAAGAAACACAGAAAAACAGGGATCTTCTTGCGTAGTTTGTTTATTGAATAAAATCACATACTGTAAAAAACCATATCACACAATCAACTTTTGCTCATTTTTTCCATACAATATACAGTACTTACCTCTGTGTCTCCTATCTTCACAACAGCCTCCATTTGAATCTTCATCCTTGCAACATTTCTGGATATGTTGGATGCCTGTGTAAGACTACCCCCCAAAGGGGCCATTGGTAATAACAGGTTCTTCTCAATTAGTACAGAGGCTGCCCTTCTCTACAAGCATCAGTTCATGCACACCCACACCAATAACTCGGTCTACTCTAGGGGATATCTTTTTAATGTTCATTGCATAAAGAACTTTAAACAGGAGAGAAGTTAGTGCATGGGATACTTCAAAACGCTTGCACAGTAACAAGAGGATGAGTTTCTCTAAGCCATCCACAGATTCTGCTTAGGACCTAGGGGAATGGCCAGTTCTCTGAGAACCTATGAGAGTCATCTCAGTCCATAGCTACCTCTGACACTTACATCCCACCAGCACACAGTCACCTGGAATCAATGTTCAGGGTCAGTACTTGCATGTCCCAGGAGAGCTGCATACCTTATAGCTTCCAACATACACTTCTCAGTGAGGAGATAATTCTTATCCAGACCAGATCCAATAGGTTAAGTCCCACATCCAGCTCCTCAAATAGGTTGCTTCAAACTCTTAGCCCTGCCACAGCTGAGAAATAACAACTCTTCTAGGGGTAGCAGGAAATGGCCAGTATATCTAGGACCCTTCAGCAGAAGTCCATATAGAAACCTTTGGCACTTAGTTTCCTTCTGGCACCTAACACAACTAACAATCCACAGCAAGATCTTTATTCACAGTGACCCAGGAGCTGTCTGTCACCCAGCATCTGCAGGTAGATCCTCAGTAAGGGAAATAAAAGATCCTTCTCCAGACAAGGACTTCTGTGCAGTGCCCTCCAGCAACTGTAACCCAGGCCCCCGGCCCAGCAGTTGCTGAGGCTAGACTGACACAGGACTTTGTATGTGCCTCCAATGGTACATCAGTTAAAAGTACATATGCTTTTATTACAAAGTAAAAAAAAATACATGGTTGATACTTAGGAAAATATTAAAAACTAGATCATTCTCGAGGTCACCTTAAAGACCTTAACTATGATGATAATGAGAGATTCACCTTGAGGTGACATAGCCTATTTTAATCACTTATTTGTTTTATTGATTCTTATTCCACAGAGTGAGGATTTCAATATTGTATATTATTACTATTTTAATTGTTGTTCTGTTCATTTTCAGTATAAAATTGGATACCTTACATTTTGTGTGGGTGTAATTAAGGTCTTTAAGGTTCTGAAGAAGCGGGGGATCCTGTGAAATACATTGACAACACTACATCAACCGTATTTACATTTCATTTTCGTATGTTATGTGGATAAGATGAATTTTTAATATATTTGCATGTATGAACCATGTTTTAATTATTGACTTTGTGATAAAAGCATATGTATTTTTAACTGTTTGTGTGCTGTTGGAAGTATATACAAAGTCATGTGTGAGAAGAAAAAAAAATGTTTTTGATTTTGTGGCTGGTTAGGGATAATGTCTGCTATAGTAATAAACATTAGAGTGTAAATTCTCTTCCCATACATGAGACCTAGTCTGTACTCAAGTCAGCTGTCCCTAGGGACAACAGACCCCCTAAGGCATGGAACCCTGAACCTGAACATTTATCACCTCATCAGCCACCTTCTGGATACACCTCCACAGGGATTGGCTGGGGCCTGATAAATATTCAACTGATTATTTGAATCTCCCTCCCTATGTTCTTTAAGCATCTTCCAGGCTTAGGGGGATGCAATCAAACTCTCAAAACCTGGATCAGACCAAGCCAGTCAATCACTGCTCCACTCACTACAGTGGAACCAAAATTTACCTAGCTAGCTGGGTGCTCCTCGCTCCTACGCCATGGTTCCCATACGTCACTTCAGTGTCTGGCGGTGAAGTAGGGGAATGGAGGATGAAGCCACAGCTTGCACCAAGGGCTACAGGCACCCAATGTTCCCACAAGTGTTGAGTGCTGAAGATTCTGATGAAAGCTGTAGTGTTTCAATGGAGCTAAAAAGTAGCCACTGGGCTTTGGAGAAACAAGTATAATACCTCTTCTTTTGCAGTTTATTGCTTTTGGGATTTTTTAGACAACAACACTGCTTTAAGTCAAAACCAGGGGCGGACTGACAACTCATGGGGCCCTCGGGCAATAGGGGATCATGGGGCCCCTGTGCCCTTGCCTAAACTCAAAAAGCCTATGAAAAAGGTACCAGGGGCATCTCATGGGGCCCCCTACTGACCCCAGGCCCTCGGGCAGTGCCCGAGTTTCCAAATGGTCAGTCCGACACTGGTCAAAACACAACTGTTTATTTTTAAAACTAGACATATATATATCCACAAAAGGGTGAAGGTAGCATAGGACCCCATCTTATTGCTTTCTGAAATGATCTTAGTAGACAACTCATCAATCCAAAATTCATATAGGTTACTGAATTCTTCAGAACTTTTGTAATATTTCTGTGAAAGAGCACAGAACACTGAAAAATGTTCTGGAAACCTGTGAGCTCATGAAACCACAGACTCACATCTATAATTCTCCCCTGTGCATTGCCTTTATAATACCTGTTGCAGAGGGAATTTGTAATTTCCCCCCAGCACCTGAGCATCTGAGATATATAAAGACAATGATGTAATTGGCCAACGTCTATCAGATCATGCTTCTCCTTAATGGACCATTATTATCAGAATAATGTGAAGATAAACAATTTCATATGTACATAGAACTATAATGATTCTGTAAAATTGCTTTGTTATTAAAGTGGACCTTCAGTAACTTTACCTGTCTGCATGAATAAATTCCAGATATGTCACAGAATAAAGCAAACAAATCATCTGCCTGTAGTGGCCCCCCAAAGGAGCAGCTAGAGAACTGGTTCTTTTCCCCATGATTAATGCACACACAGCTAGGTGCACAGATGTTTCTCCATCTTCACTGGCTCAAAGGACACAGTCTAGGGGTGTCTTTTGTGTTTTATTATAAAAGTTGTAGTTGGATGGGGAGAAGGGTACATGGGAAACCCCAGAACTGCTGATAAAGTGCTAACGCGTTTCGGGAGTCTAACTCCCTTCATCACAGCAGTAGATGAAAAGTAGAGCAGTAGATGAACTAATGCCCTGAGAAAAGGAGTTCGGCGCTTTCTTCCATCAGACTGCTCTGTGACTGTCCCATATTTATGGGCCAGTCCAACACTCTACCAGGGCCTCCAAACCTTGGTTTGGCCGGACTCCCATAAACATGCAGTTTGGGTCTACCGACTTCTGGAAGGTTCTATGGTCCTCCAGAGTCAGGAGGAGGTGATAGAGTCACAACCTGTTAAGTCATCCAGCTGACCTGTAAAAACCTGACCTCAATCACATGACTCACACAGTCACCATGAGTCGTACACAATGATTTTACCTGCAATACACTACACTATTCTAGTAGCACACTAGTGGGTGCTACACTTCCAATGGGGGCACTAGTTCTGGTGACAACTTGGGATTCCCTCACACTTCCTGTTTTGGCTATGGCCTGGCTAAGCACTGCTCAGCTTTTCACAGGAAGCCTTGTATTTTATGAATGGATACAAGGCTTCCTCTGATTAGCTGAGGTGGAGAGGCAGGCTGATAACATCACAATCTCCACTTAAGTCGCTCAGAGGAAACCTTTTTCTGCATTCATAAAAATACAAAGCTTCCTATGAATGGCTGCGCAGTGCTGACTAGATTTTGTTCCAGGAATGGGACAGGAAGTCTCCATCCTGCTACCGGAACACAGCGCTGTTTATACAGCACTCACAATGGGCGCATGTATTAGTGAAGGAAGTAGTTAATTGGGACCACCTTTGCCCAAACAAACTGTTTAAAGTCATAGAAAACCTGGAGTTTAGCCTTAGGATCCATGTACACTAGGGTTTTTTTTTTATGTGTTACTAAACCCACAACAGTAAAATCAGTCTGTATATGCAGTAAAGTATGCTTGTTATACGCACTGTGGAACCTAAAGGGTTAATCCTTCACATTGCGTAAAAAGGCTGTTTGATCCTTTCTTCTCTGCCCCTCCTCTTGTTCAAATGTCCACATTGATAAGACAGACTGAACCCATAGCCCTTACGCACATACTCAGTTTGGTGTGTATTGCTAGAGAGGTTTTTTTTTTTCTTGGTAGAGTGCATGTGATCAGCACAGGGCAAATCAGCACTGTCCAGACAAAGGCCAGAGGTTCTGCATCCTCCTAAAGCAAAATGAAAACTCCTCGTACAAACTTTAACCAGTGCTCTGCTGAACACTGATAGAAGTCACAAGACTGTTCTAACTGCTGATGAGAAAAGGTATTTAGCAGTTTGTATATACTAAAATAATTCAATTTCCATGTTGTGTGTACTGTGGGAGACCAGATATAGTGAATGCAGGGTCCAGGCTTTAGTAACACTTTAACAATGAACAATGTTTTTCAAAATTCCATCCAGCAGGTGAAATGGGTTCGCTGGGATGAGTACAAACATGACTGCCAAGGCCACCGAATATACTTTTCCCCTCCCAGCAATAATCTATGTAGTAGATAATCTGGATAATCACATAGATTATTGCTAAAACTGCTCTTTTCAGTCTGATAATACCTGAAATCTGGGATTATCACAGGCTGGTTCAATGATATTGAGATAATTGTTTGGGAAAATTGGTTACAGAAATGGAAAGTGTCAAGCAAGACAATAGGCTTTCTGAAACTGTATGTCCTCCATATACACCGATCATAGAAGGACACCTTGTCTGTGCAGTCTCTGCCTAAGGGGAAAAGAGCAGCTGGCAGGTTGTCATTAAAGGAGTAACTGGGATGCCATAACCAGCACAGACCAAGTATGTCGATATCTTAAAGAATAAGTTCACCTTTTGAAAAAATGTAATAAATAAATGCACTTTTTTGCAGGTAAAAAAAAATGTGCATTTATTTATTTATTTTTCTAAGGAGCTTTCAGAGCATTACACATGCAATCAGTGAGTTGATGGCGCAATGTCAGGCTCCTGCAGACTCTCAGGATAGCTGTCTGCCCGTACCTCATACAGGCAGGCAGTTACCTGAGATTAGGAAGATCAATGGACTACCAGAGCGCTCACCAGTGTCCTTGTAGATCACTGAAAACTACAAGCCGTCAGCCTCAATGGCTGACAGTATTTGTAGGCATTCATTCACAGGAAACTGTGAATGAATGATGCTCCTATATGGGCAGAGCCCTGTATGGCTGCGCTATTTTCAAATTGTGACAGCGTGTGCAGGGAGAAGATCCCCCACCCGCTGTCACAGGGAGAGGGGTAAGAGGCTGCAGATGATGGAACATGTTACATGTTCCACCGTAAAAATGGGTGGAACATATAACATGTTCCAAAGGTGAACTTATCCTTTAAACTCTGGTTCACATAGATGAAAAATGCGAATTCCGCACCGCACCAGAATCGCATCCCGTACATGCGAACCGCTGCGGGTGTGTATGTTAAGTAAAACAACACCCCGAAACACGGTGCGATGTGAAGAATCGGATCGCATAAGTCTGAATACCTATGTGATCCGATATTAGTGCGGACCCAAAAAAGGGTTGTTCTGTCTCTCCAATCTAAGCATTGAAAGTGTGATCTCTGTAACTTACAGTTGTGATGAGATAGCGATAACTCCAATCTTAGTTGAATAACACAGGCAGTGACTCAATCCAGATGACATCTGGTAGATCTTGTGAAGTTTATTCCATAAATTGAGAGAATATTACAACAATGAACATTGGATAGCTCAAAAGATCATAATGTGATCTGCTTCCATAAGACATGAGGCTAGAAGCTACAACGCATTTCTGGAAAAAGGGGGAGGGCTATCTATACAGCATGAACTAAACCAAAGGAAAGGAAGGAGCAGAAACAAAATATAAAGAACACTTAAAGGCATATGACAGTCATGTGAAACATGATAAGGGTCCTGCACGTTTTTTGGTGCGGGTGCGGTGCCAATAGAGCCATACAAAATGTATGGCTCCGATCGCACCACACGCAAATTGCATGTGATTTGCATAGGAATGCGGTGCGGTTCCTGTGCAAATCACATACGATATACTGAGCCGCACGTATGTCAACCCAGGCTAAAGGCCCACTTTATCAATATTACTGTACTCTGGAAACTGTAGGGCAATATCTGTAGCAATAGCACCCGGTATATGAATTCCTTGTTTTTGTTTGCCTTTATTAATATTTTTCCCCACATTTACAAGCAGACCAAGCTGGGACCAAGAACTATTAAACAAAGCATAGAACACTGCTGGGGGTACTTACAGCGGTCAGCTTTTAGTCATATGGCTTAAATCTTTTTTTACAAAAGAAAAATAAACTGCTGCTGCAACTTCTTGAAAAGTTGTTGGCTGACTATTTTCCGCCTTACTTCATCGGTTTTGTCAACCTAGGTTGTGTTGGCAGGGCTGCTGTTAGAAATCACGGGGCCCTATACAGCCTACATGACAGGGACCCCCCTCCCTCCCTTACAATATCAAAATGATATTTTCACTGAAAATACACTAAATTCGTTATTAGCTGGCACAAACATAGCTTACAAAATTCCTGCTAAATCTAAAAGTTAAAACTTTATTAATTAATTAATTGATTAATTAATTAATATTAATAATTATTAATCACTTTATAAATAAAGTTCTGTGTATAAATGAGGTTTTGGGGCTCATTCATATGTGTGCTGTGGCCTGGACAGTGTAAATCAGTGTTTTTTTTTTAAATGTGGCTACTCTAGTGTACAGGCAGCCTATGTTATCCTACAGGGACACAGCAGCTGACAGGTGTGTGCATGTAGGTGTACGGCCCCAAACAGACAGTGTGCATTTGGGACCCCTCACCTGCATTTATCAAATCAGGACCTGCGGCTGTGTTTGTACAAACGCTGTATCTCCATAGAGTAACAGACTGCACCAGCTGCTCAAACAAACTGCTCATTTACACTATATGGGCCAGAGAACCTGTGTGAATGAGCCCTTAATTTTCAAAATAATTTTTCAAATTTTTTCAGATAATTTTTTCCAATTTTTAAAAATAATTTTTACACATTTTTACAATTATTTTTTACATTTTTACAGAAATTTAAAAAAAATAGTTTAAAAAAATTTTTTTTACAATTTATAATTTTTAAAATTTTTAAAAAATGTTTTAGATTTTTTTTTTAAAAAAACTCCTAGCCTATTGCAATATAATGGCCAAGCAGGAACCCTATTATCCTGGGAGGACATCACATAATGTCCTCCCAGGATTGCGCCTCACGCGGTTTGTCACCGGCTGTAAGAGACACGACCGATGACAGATCACTACACCGGCCCGCTGCCAGTGTTATGCGATTACTGTGACCAGTCACAGTAGATCACATGACAGTTGTAAACAATGAATGGCTTCCTCGAGTTTAGGAGCTTTTGGTATTTTTTTGCCAAAGCTCCTAAACTCCATACTCCATAAAAGCCTATGTGTCCATGTACACCATAGGCTTTTAGCACAGTTTATGAGCTGCAGTGTTTAGGTGAGATTAAACCTCCCTCTTCTGAACGCGGAAGAAACACGTTCAGGATAGGAATGTTTTGACAGTGGAAAAACAAAAAATGTGGCAAAACTGCGGTACCCTGGTTGCACGGTTTGCAGCGATTTGCATTTTTTTGTGCGGCCGGCGGTCATGGTAGGCTCGTGTACTTAGAGCCTTAGAGCAGTCTTGTGACTTCAGCTGAGCACTGGTTAAAGCTTGTAGGAGGAGTTTTCTTTCTGCTCCAGGAGGATTCAAAACCCCTGACCCTCTGTACACTCCACATGTACTCTCCCAAGAAAAAAAAAAGCCTCGCTAGCAATACACACCAAACTGAGCATGTGCATGGGGCTATGGGTTCAGTCTGTCTTATCAGGTGGACATCTGAACAAGAGAAGGGGCAGAGAAGACAGGATCAAACTGCCTTTTTACACAATGCAGAGGATTAACCCCTTAGGTTCCACAGTGAATATAAGGCTCCATGTAGACGAGCCTACCCTGACCACTGGCCGCAGGAAAACGCAAATCGTGACAGTCGTCAGTCAAAATGTTCCTCGTTCAGTAGAGGGAGGTTTAACCTCACCTAAACGCAGCAGCTCTTAAACTCTGATAAAAGCCTATGTGTACATGGACACAGAGGCTTCTATGGAACTGAGTTTATGAGCTTTGGCAAAAAAATGTCAAAAGCTCCTAAACTTGAGTTTAGGAGCTGCTTGTGTACATGAGCCCTAACAAGCATGCTTTACTGCGTATACAGACTGATTGTACTGTTGTGGGTTTAGTAACACTTTAAGACCTCCCTGTCCACAGGGACAATACCTTAACTTGATGTACAGTGAGGAACAGAAGTATTTGAACACCCTGCGATTTTGCAAGTTCTCCCACTTAGAAATCATGGAGGGGTCTGAAGTTCACATTGTAGGTGCAGTCCCATTCTGAGAGACAGAATTTATAAAAAAAATTCAGGAAATCACATTGTATGATTTTTAAAGAATGTATTTGTCTTGTACTGCTGAACATAAATATTTGATCACCTCAGAAACAGCAAGAATTCTGGCTCTCAAAGACCTGTTACTGTGCCTTTAAAAGTCCACCTCTACTCCACTCATTAATCTAACTTAGTAGCACCTGTCTGAGCTCTTTAAAGACACCTGTCCACCCCACAGTCAGTCAGACGCCAACTACTACCATGGGCAAGACCAAAGAGCTGTCAAAAGATACCAGAGACAAAATTGTGGACCTCCACAAGGCTGGAAAGGGCTACGGGGCAATTGCCAAGCAGCTTGGTAAAAATAGATCAACTGTTGGAGCAATTGTTAGAAAATGGAAGAGGCTAAAGATGACTGTCAGTCTCCCACGGACTGGGGCTCCATGCAAGATCTCACCTCGTGGGGTATCACTGGTGATAAGAAAGGTGAGGAATCAGCCCAGAACTACAAGGGAGGAGCTGGTCAATGACATGAAGAGAGCTGGGACTACAGTTTCAAAGGTCACTGTCGGTAGAATACTACGCCGTCATGGTTTCAAATCATGCATTGCACGGAAGGTTCCCCTGCTCAAGTCATCACATGTCCAGGCCCGTCTGAAGTTTGCCAATGACCATCTGGATGATCCAGAGGAGGCATGGGAGAAAGTCATGTGGTCAGATAAGACCAAAGTAGAACTTTTTGGTCTAAACTTCACTTGTCGTGTTTGGAGGAAAAAGGATGAGTTGTATCCCAAGAACACCATCCCTACTGTGAAGCATGGGGGTAACATCATGCTTTTGGGGGTGCTTTTCTGCGCAGGGGACAGGACGACTGCACTGTATTAAGGAGAGGATGAATGGGGCCCATTATTGTGAGATTTTGAGCAACAACCTCCTTCCCTCAGTC